ATACCAACGATTGGACACGGGCTGGTATTACATCCGGCTCCGACGAGCATGAAATCGCTTCAAAGACGATACGCCGACCTGATGGTGATAGATCCTGACGTGCAGCAACAGCCTCTATCAACATTGACCCACTCCGTCGAGCGTCCGGCGAGTCCGCATTTTGGATGAGGTAGGAGCCAGCCTCCCATAGCGCAACAGATTGGTCTGAAGTGAACCACTGCAGGCATCTGGAGACATGCTCCGCCTCGTCGATGGCGTGAGCTAGATTCTCTTTCTGTGATAGATTCCTGAGAGACGTTTCGAAATCCGGGGCACCGGAAGTGTCCGAGGAACTGGAAACAACGCTTCCACGATGCATTGATTCGAATCCGAGTACGAGAAAATTGTTCCTCCGTCCATCCGTCGTATGCGACAAGGAATGACTGCTGTCCTGCAGCGAAAGTGGGGACTGCGATCTGGAACGGGCGACACCTAGCGTTTTGAAGACGTCCACAAAGCTGACAGCGGTACTTTTATAAGAAGACGGTAACGGAACTTCATCGGGAGACATGCGTCCTCAAGGACGGGGGGTATATACAAGGTCTAAGTCGAGAGGTTATATATCTAGGGCACCGACTGATCAGCATGAACGGAGCTATGACAAGGCTTCATGCAATACATGGATTCGCCTTGTTTGCAACAGCTCAAAGCCGTGTCATAGGAGATCCACATACCCTTCCTGAGGAGTTCTAAGTCAGGTGTTCACAACATCAGGAGGTTGAAAAGTAATACAAGGCTTCATTCAGATACGACAGCTGTAGTGGCAATGACGGATGTCTCAAAAGGCAAGCTTGACACTTTAAAGAGACAAGAACTCCTTTTCTTCTCAAAGTTCAAATGAAAACACCAGCCACAGGAACAAAGAGACACCCCTGAACAGATGTTGTTTGAGCACAGCCAGAAGCAATGATATCAGGTTCCCATCCAAGCAAAAATGTGCCAAGACACCTTTCCCCTCAAAAAGAATCGATGATGGATGATCTGGCGGAGATGGAAAAGGTTAATCCGTTCTATCACCTGATGGGCAGAAACACCCCGCCATCAGTGCTGACCGCCTTGGAAATTCCCAAAGCAACCAAAGCAACCAAAGCAACCGCTAAACAAACTGCCTTATATGAACTAAGCTCTGACAGCTTTGAGAAGGGCATTTTTCGTACAGAGAGGTTGAAGGAATCTCCTGCCCACACAAATCTACCCAAGCTTTTTCTTCTGTCCCTTTTTCTTATATCACGATCTTTCGAAAGAGTGTCACGCTGTTTTCTACGTGAAATCTTCCCTAATTTCACCCCGCTTCTCAAAAAATGGCTGCGGATCTCGGAGCTGTTGCCCAGCTCCTTGAGGCAAGCTTGGACCCAAGGCAAAACAAACAAGGTATGGGAAAATCATGCTTATCTGGCTTGGATGGCCATTTTGCGATGGATTGTCTGATCTTTTGCAGCTGAGGCTACTCTTCGCCAGGAGGAACAGAAACCCGGCTTTTCTTTGCAGCTCCTCCAGATCACGGCGTCTACTTCATACCCCTATAACACCCGCCTCGCCAGTGCTCTATGCTTCAAGAACTTTATTAAGCGAAACTGGACCGATGAGGATGGAAACTACAAACTCCAGGTGGATGAGGTCGCAACGATCAAGCGGGAACTGATCAGCTTGATGATTTCTGTTCCGGCAGGTATCCAGTCCCAGCTTGGCGAAGCTGTCAGCGTGATTGCCGATAGTGACTTCTGGGAGCGATGGGACACCCTTGTAGATGTGAGTGATACAAACGGGGTTTTTCAATCACCCTGTAGTTGTACTGACTCTTCCTAGGACCTTGTTTCAAGGCTCCAGCCAAAGAACCCCGCCGCCAATATCGGGGTACTGCAAGTTGCACATTCAATCTTCAAAAGATGGAGGCCCTTGTTCCAATCAAATGAGCTGTACACAGAGATCAACCACGTCCTGAATAAATTTGGGAACCCATTTCTGGCTCTCTTTGAGGTAAAGCTCCTCCTTTCACCGCTTACTTGGCAACTGCTATCGTGGCGCCATGATTACCCGATCATTGTGCTGATTCTGATTAGGGCTTGGATTCATTCCTCGAGGAGAACAAGTCGAACAAAGAAAACCTTGTCCAGGGGTTTACACAATTCAATCTGATGGTGAAATTGCTGTTCGACCTCTCTTGCCATGATCTTCCTCCTATGTTTGAGGAAAACCTCTCAGGGATAGCTTCGCTCTTGCTCAAATATTTGACATATGACAACGCCTTGCTTCACACAGACGACGAAACTGAGGCCGGCCAATTAGAATTCGTGCGGGCTGGAATTTTCGAGGCTCTGACACTGTATGTGCAGAAGTACATGGACGTATTCAGTTCTCATGTTGGGCAATTTGTGCAGAGCTCCTGGAGCCTCCTGACCACAATTGGCCAAGAAACAAAATATGACATTCTCGTCAGCAAAGCGCTTCAATTTTTGACTTCAATTGCGGGTATGCCAGAACATGCATCGGTCTTCCAGGCAGAAGAGACCCTTGGCCAAATCGTCGAGAAAGTGGTCTTGCCAAACGTGAGTCTGCGTGAGTCAGATGAGGAGCTTTTTGAAGACGAGCCTATTGAATTTATCCGGCGAGATCTTGAAGGATCGGACAGTGAAACTAGACGGCGGGCTGCCACAGACTTCCTCAGACGGCTGGCAGAGCAATTTGAGGGCCCCGTGACTAAGGTCGTTCTCAGATACAGCGACCACTATCTTGCTGAATACGCGAAGAGCCCTGCCTCGAATTGGAAAGCCAAGGACACTGCAGTTTATCTTTTCTCTGCAATTGCGGCCAAGGGAGTTCCCACAGCAAGCCACGGTGTCACTGCGACCAACCCTCTTGTCAGCATCACTGACTTCTTCCAAAAGAACCTCGCCGCGGACCTGGTTGCCGATGAAAGTGCCCACCCTATTCTCAAGGTGGATGCAATCAAGTACCTTTACCTCTTCCGCAGCATCATCACGAAAGACCAGTGGCAAGAAGTGCTTCCTTTGCTGGTCAAGCATCTCGGTTCTCCCAACTTTGTTGTCTATACTTATGCAGCTATCGCTGTCGAAAGAGTGCTTTACCTCGCAGACAGCCAAGGTCAACCGATTATTGCCCCCGCCACTGTCACTCCTCTAGCGAAAGATCTTTTGCAACACATTTTCTCATTGATCCAGAAGGACCCTGCCCCTGAAAAGGTGCAAGAAAATGAGTTCTTGATGAGATGCGCCATGAGAGTCCTGATTGTCATCAAAGAAGGCGTCGTCCCATATACAGACATTGTTCTTCAACATCTCATTAACATCACTGATGTTATTAGTAAAAATCCAAGCAACCCCCGCTTCTATTATTTCCACTTCGAAGCTATGGGCGCTTTCATTCGGTATGGGGATCATTCTTCGCTTTTCTCGATTTGGGGAGCTGACACACCCAGATTCGCTGCACCGGCCAATTCGGAGAAGCTCGAACAAGCGCTCTACCCACCTTTCGCAAATATCCTTCAAGGCGACGTTCAAGGTATGGTACAATCAGAAAGGAACACGAGTTTAGGGGACATGCTTGAGTGCTAACCTATTTTCAGAATTCATGCCATACGTCTTCCAGCTCTTTGCGGCCCTTTTAGAGGCCAACCCTTCGGGATCTCTGCCCAACTACTACCAGAACCTGATCGCTCCTATCCTCATGCCTGTGATGTGGGAGTCGAAGGGCAACATTCCTGCCCTTGTCCGTCTACTATCTTCTATTATCCCTCGCGGCACTCAGTTCATATTGGAAAACCAGCAACTGGTCCCAATCCTTGGTATCTTTCAAAAATTACTTTCCACCAAAGCCAATGAAGGCTTTGGATTTGACCTTTTGGAGAGTGTCGTTGCAAACTTCCCACCGTAAGTGAATGATGAGACGATCGATCTTGTTTGTTATATACTGACGCCTTCTTCTAGCACGGCATTAGAGCAGTACTTCGTTTCTATCATGCAGGTCATTCTCACTCGCCTTCAGAACTCGAAGACCGAGCACCTCACTCTCAGATTTGTCCGCTTCTATCACTTCATCTCCGCTCATGACGACAAGGGCTATAGTGCCGATTACTTCATCCAGGTCACAGATAAAGTTCAAGCAGAGTATGTCCGGATGAAACTGTATTGCCGGTTTTTTACATATACTGACAAAAGACAGCCTCTTCACCCCCATCTATCTCAACATCATTCTCCCTGAAACGCAGAAACTCGCACGTCCATTGGACCGTAAGACTGCTGTGCTGTCTTTCACAAAGACGCTTGCAGACTCAGAAGCATTTGCAAACCGATACAAGAAGGGATGGGGCTTCACATGTGAGGCTCTACTCAAATTGTTGGAGCTTCCCCCTCTCCCCGCCAGCAAGGATGACCTCATTGCCGAACATGACGTTGAGGATATGGCGTTCGGGGTAGGCTTCACAGCGCTGAACACCGTGCGACCCCAAACCAGGGACCCGTGGCCCGACACGGGCGCTGATCTCAAGGCTTGGGTTGGCAGATACTTGAAGGAGGCCGATAAGAAGCATAATGGACGGGTCTCTGCGTGCGTACAAGAGCGCCTGGGAGCCGAGGCGCGGACAGTATTGAGCAGTTACATTGCATGAGCGGTAGCAGAAGATGTGCATGGTCTGCATCCGACGCCAGAGTCGACAAGAAAAGCGGCAGGTAACACATTCATGCCTTTTATGATAATTTCACCAGATTAATTCTTAGAGTTTCCAGCTTGTCTCATGTACTTAGACATAAAGTACACAAAATCATCTTTGGAACCTACACAGGAGAAGTTCAATTCATCCATGCTTAAAAGTGTCTATTATGTCCATCAGATGCGTGCAAGACCTGACCAGCAGTAGCACAACGAGATGAAGTGTAGACTGGCTACTTCTCAGCTAGACGGGAGCCCTGTAGTGAAACTCTGAGGTAACTACAGCAGACGACTGATCATCCGAGCTGCTTCTGTTCAGCAGTGTGATTATCAGAAGGTTCCTCGGTGGCAGAATCTTCAGCATCCAGGCGATGATCCTGCGCCTCTCCTTGGCCCTCAGTACCATCTCCTGCGTCGTCTTCTAGGTCAAGCTCGTCCCCATCCTCATGCTCGTCCTTTTGCGCCTCCTTCCCTAACTCCCGATACTTCCGCCGAGTCTTCTTCATCTTGCTCGCCTTCTTCTTGCGTGCGCGCTCAGCCCGAATGGCATTCCGACTCGCATCACCCTTCAGCAAGTCCTCGACTTTATCAGCTAGGATCTGCCGAGCGATTTTCTCGTTCTGGGACCGGGAGCGTGTGGCTTGGGATTTCACCACTATGCCGGTGGGTTTGTGGATGAGCTGGACGGCAGAGTTGGTTTTGTTCTGTTGGGGTTCTTAGAGAGAAGGTATCAAAGAAGGGGTAAATGATGAGAGGGTGAGTGTAGCGTACGATTTTCTGCCCGCCTGGGCCAGTGCCCTTGAGGTAGGATATGGTCAAGTCGGCATCGTCGATTTTGAGTCGGGGAGGGAGCTGTTTTGCGGAGAGGGACGAGGCGAGGGTGAAGGAGCGGTGGATTGAGGGCGGTGGGAGGATGGCTTTGGGTAACAGTGAGGTCTTTAGAATGGATAGGCTTTTTTGGAGTGTTGTCACTGTTGTGGGGGGTGACATTGTTTCATTTTGTCCGTCTGTGAGGTTGGTTTGATAGGATAGGTTAGGTTGTGAGGGCGGTCAGTGCTGGATGTTTCTATCTACCTAGGTAGCCGTTGGACCAAACAATGGGCATATCTTCCAGTCTATTCCTATCAGGCTACCTTTTAACTATAGCGATATCTTGTTGTGAAAACATAAACTTCTTCTTTTGGACTCTCTGTACACTTGTATAGTAGTAATTGTTTTCTTCTCACTCCGTAAGTCAGGTAAGTTTAGCAGAGAACCGTCTGATCAGAATAAAAGGTCACTTGGTGGGAATGGAAGTCTCTATAATGAGTTACGGTATGAGAGTTTAGGCTGATTCTGTATCGTAGAATATCTATCTAAATGATGAGGTCTTAGCAAAACACTAATGATATTGACATGCGTTGACAATGATCATCGTGATGGGGAATAGCTTCATTGGGGATGCCACAGATGCCAAGCAGAGGCTGACGTACGCTCCCACTCGGTAACTACTCGGTACTTGGAACTCGAACTCCGTATCCAGATCCATTGTGAAAACTTAGATCCTCCTCGGATTCGGAAGAACGCAGAGAATCTTTGAGGAGGAAATACCATAGAAAATTCTTGTTGCCTACAGAAGGAAGAACAATGTCCCGGATAATTGCTGCATAACTATGTTGAGAAATCTGACATAGCTGTCATGACCCTGTGGGAATCTAGGTTATGTTCTAGACACCTGTCCATGTCCACATTAATTCAAATTAATACTTACTACGGAGTATTTACAACAAGGCCCGACAATTCAATTTCTATTCATGTCCGCCAGTCAAAATGAAAGCAGATATCTAGCTACTACCTAGCTAGAGATAGTCCTGGACCCTGAAGTGGAACCCAGTGGGTTTCTTGATTCTTCTAAATAGGGAGCCTGGACATCTGAGAAAACTGCTTTTTCTCACTTCGAACTTGGAAGTCCTGAACATTCATTATTGTTACCTATTGCTCCAAATGCCCCTACAAAGTATTTAGATCAATTCGTACTTCGTAGTCGTACTCGTATGCCTCGACAAAGTATGGTTGGTAGTTCTTTGTTATAAGTATCACCCACCTCTCTCCTCAATAAATCTCTCCACATGTTTATCTTCTCCCGGTCAAGTGTCAACAATTGTCCCCGCACAGCTTGTTCTGTAAATTCCTCAGGCTTTTGATCTTCTCCATCTGCTACCCTGTTTACTACACCGGAAGGGTTGATCACTATTCTTAAATCTTGAAACCTGACAATTATCTTTAACCTCTGAACAACCCAGGATTTTGACAATGAATTGACCGTCTACCTAAATGTTTTAATTGAGTCTCGCCACTTCAAACTTAAATCTCCCACGAGCCCCTGAGTGAGAGTCAAGTTGTCAACCCACGGTTTAAGAATCCTCAAAGGTACCGTTATCCTGGTAATTTCCACTGCTGTCCCGGCGCCTATTATTTACTCCACAGCCAAACAGACGGAGCGCTGACTACTTTCCCAATCAGACTAGACCAGGAGATCATGGAAGCCTAGAGCATTTCTATCATGAGCTTCTTCGACAAGCAATTCCCATTCTTTTAAGATATCTTACTTCCTAGCCTCGAACGACTTCGAGTGATTATCGCCTCTTTACAGCGCCAAGTTCTCCAGCACTAAATCTCCCGCAGAAGTGTGACCACTAAGGGGTACGGCAAGAGAAGAAAGACACCGTTCATTTACAATAAAAGTATCAGTCTCAGTCGTTCGCGCGGTTGTCTAGCTGCGTTCAAATTGTTCAGAGTCAACCAAGTCAAATCGATGGCAATCATGGCCCCTCTCCTGTGGCTAACAACCGCCTTGGTTCGGTGGTTTCGCCTGAAGGTCTATCAATATGAGGTGACTTTCGCCATATATATGCTCACCCCCGCCGAAAAATTCATCTTTAGTATGTTGTCTCCCTTCGTTCTGGATAATCAATCTTGCTGGCTATCTTTCTCTCCAATTGAACTACAATGTCGAGGACGCCTCTGAAGCGCTTGTGTTGTTTACAAATGCTAACAACCATTGTTTCTTGACAGACTCCCTACTCCTGACCCTCATCACTATGATTATCACCGGCATCTACGTCTACCTTCCCGACCATATCAGAGCAATCTACGGCCATCTCTATTACTACTGGGTTGGTGAACGCCCGTTCATCTCAACTAGTCTGCCTTCCATCAGCGCGGTATTCCGTGAAAATAGCACCAAAACCCTGGAGATGGTGTATGACACGGTCAAAGAGGCCGCCGCAACAGCCACCGGTGCAATCGCTGAATTGTGACCAATCTCTCCTTTTTGTGCGATCCTGATTACATACTACCGTTATCCTGGCCTCGAGTCGGTTCACATCCGCTTCTCAGTACCGTCACCTTTTGACCTCCAAGGCGACGAGCTAGTCGCAGCTTCCTATTCTTAGCATTCTTGTTATCGATCTGTTGCATACAAAGGCGTTATGAAGGGACTCTTCTTTTCCTATTCGTTCGAACAAATAATCAGAAGCAGGCGGGCGCATACCCTAGGAATTCTTTTTGCCCTTCCGTGTATCCTTTTGAGCTGTTATTCCTATCGAAAACCAGCCTTTCTCGCCAGGCAGAAATGACATGATACCCAGTTGACACGATTTTCGATTGCCTGTATATCTTGCCACAGCTCACTTGGTCTGTCAGCAGAAGAGGCGAAGATGCTACGTCTTGTCTAATTCCAATGCAATAAACGGAAAGGCAGTCTCGTATAACGAAGCAGGTTTGGAGTTAGACCCAGTCAACTATCAAATAAAATGTTTCCGGATTGAAAAACAAGACAAAACTCCCAATATACCCAGAGAAGAGTGTTATACAAAAGCGCAATCATACATGGTACATGTGTAACTCCCATTCATGCCATTTTGCCATGCCACATGTCCGGCCATTCTGAACCCCGCAGAACGCCCTTCTCCCTATTCTTCCCTTCATTTCCATTCTATTTTCCAGCTTAGCAGCCTCCGGCCTATAAGACCCAATATCCTCGTCCGAATAACCGCATCCCACAAACCCATAGTATATATCCTCCCTTCAGACGAATCCTATTCCGCATTCTCAGCCTGCGCAGCTACTTGCGCCTGTGCCTGCGCCTCCATCGCCTCCCGCTGCAACCGCCGCTCACGCCGGACCGCATCTACCGTCCTCATCCGTGCCAGCTCCCGATCAATCTCTTCCTTCTCCAGTGGGATCTTGTGCGATTGCTCGGCGGTAGGCCAGAAACCCGGTACGCTGAATCGGTCGTCGAGGTTTGTGCCGAAGTAGTACATCCAGCCGATGGGGAAGATGATGTACATGCCGAACTAGGGAGGCTGGTTAATGGGGTCTGGTTCAGTGGAGAGATAGGGGGAAGGGTTCTTTGCGGAAGTGAAGGCGAGAGAGATAGGTATGTACCTTGAAGACTTCGAGGTTGCCCCCCTGTAATCTGCGCAGGATGGCTGACATTGTGAGTTGATGTGATGGGATGTGGTTCTGTTAGGTTGACGGTCTGGAGAGATGCGGCGTGCGAATAGTGAACGGATCGTATGCTCTGTTTCCAGTATACAGAAACCCTCTTCTTCTGTGCTAATTGCTAATTCGACGAGCAGTCATACATGCGATGTTCTTCTCATGCATTGGACTCGATGTCAGAGTCCGCGGACTTCCATCAGCCCATTAGTGTGAGAGGAAGATCAGCGGTTGCTGCAAATAGAACAAACATGGCCACGTGCCAGTCACCTGACTTGGTTATGTCATCCGCAGTGAGCCTCGGCTTGCAGCTCAGACCGTCGGCCTCCCCGCAATGAGGGTCGGTTCGATGCTCCATAGCCGTTGAGGAATGAGGAATTGAAAATAGCATGGGGACTTAGGGAGCTGAGGGTGTGGTATTTATCTGGAGCGTCGCTGGCCGATCTCCTGTCTCCGCTTATTGACATTGAGTATTCCCACTGTCCACGCATCTGGGACCAATCTCTACACAGCCGCACTGCTTCATTGCAGCAATCTGTCGTTCAACTTTTCGCCTATACTCTACTTGTTAAATTTTACGTCTGCAACGCCTTTTTTCAAAATGGCAGACAAAGAGCTCATCACTCTCACATACCTAGATCGCATTGCGATCATCACGTTCAATCGCCCCGAGAAGCTGAACGCCCTCAACGCTGATCTCTACTATCTGCTTGGTGAGCGGTTACGGGAAATCGAGAAGCGAGATGATATCTTCATCACCGTCCTGACAGGAACTGGTCGTTTCTTCTCCGCGTAAGCAATAACACTTTTTCTTCAGCTGCTCCTACACCACTAACTCCCCATTAGCGGAGCAGACGTGACCTCCACCCGGCCAGGCGGCGGCCTGAACAGCGACACCCGGCGAGAGATCACCCGCACCTTCGTCGTCAACAACCTCGACCTCACCCGCACCGTCTACAACCACCCCAAGATCCTCGTCGCCGCACTCAACGGCCCAGCAGTCGGTCTCTCCGCCGCCCTCGTGGCCTTCGCCGACTTCGTCTACGCCGCCCCGCACACCTTCCTCCTGACCCCATTCTCCTCCCTCGGTCTCGTCGCCGAGGGCGGCGCCTCCCGCGCCTTCGTAGAGCGCCTGGGCATCTCCAAGGCCAACGAGGCGCTCATCATGAGCAAGCGGATCACCTGCGAGGAGCTGGTGGCCACCGGCTTCGTGAACAAGGTCATCTCCGCTCCGTCCGGCAAGGCCGATGACTCGGCGGGTTTCCTTAAGAAGGTACTCGAGGAGGTCGAGGATCGTCTGGGTACGCATCTGAACCAGTCGAGTTTGCTCAAGATCAAGGAGCTCATTCGTCGTCCGGAGCGGGAGCTGCTCGACCGTCAGAATACGTATGAGGTGTTTGCGGGCATGGATCGGTTCGTCAAGGGGTATCCGCAGGAGGAATTTCGCAAGTTGGCCTCGGGTGAGAAGAGGCATAAGCTGTAGATGTTGGGCTTTGCTTTGTAGATAGGGTTACAGCATTGTTCCTTGGACAATGTGATTAATTGTCAAGGGATATAGATTTCGACAACTACCTGTAATGGATCCTTCGACACCGCAAGTTATGGAACATAGAGATCTTGCCTAACCAGCAATCGTTTTCTCAACCTGAAACGCTATTTATACATGTAGCTTTTCCCTGCTTTATCAGTTCCAAAACGCCGTCATCCAATGCCCCGTGAACCATGGGAGCTTTTCTCTATCAAAAGTCATAGTAGCAATCAGTAAGTGGAAATATAGCTATCGTCCATCGTCACTGTCCGTATCCTCCTGTGCCTGCTTGGCTAGAATGTCCTGCCATTTACCCAAGAACTCACTCATGCCACCTGGCCCTGAAAGAGACGCGTCAACAACTTCTCTGGGCAATTTGTGCGCAGAGTACTGAGGGGTACTGAAAGAATATGCCTCTGGATCGTCACGCTTAACGAGACGGAATTCGGGGAGGAACGGCGAGTCGTCTCCATCGTCTGCACTTTCAACCTCTTCTTCTGACTCAGAACCCTCGTCCTCAGTCAACTCCACCACGCTGGGATTGGATCTGTTGAGGGAGAGTCGAACAAAGCTTTCCTCGGGGGCGTCTGCGTCCTCTTCCTTTATTCCGATGGGATCCTTCATCTGCAGGATTTCCAGCCAACTGAATAAAAGCGGGTCGGTTCTATCAGCCCAAGGGTTGATGTCGATAAGCCACACGCGCCGGTGTGGCTCAGGGATATACACGTCAAAGACGAAGCTGGGGTCTGGAAATGTGTCCTTGAGTTTGTCGTCAAAGAAAGCCTGGATGCGTGATCGGAGGGTATCCCGCAGCGAGAAGAGGAAGTCGAAATGATTCTGGTCGCGCTGGCAGATGCACAAAAGCACACGATTACGTACAAAGCAACGGAATTCAAGAGAGGGATTGAAGTTAACGTATTTGCGGAGGACTAGGTGATAAGGGATATCGGGCTGGGTGGCTGGCGGATCGGACGAATCGTCTGTATCGGGCACGCAACCATCAAATGGATGCTCCAAGTCGTGTGTGATGAAGTCGCTGCTCTTCAGGAGGAGGTATATATCATTTGGTGTTCGGCATTGAAGATCGTTCGTCGCCGACATCCACACAGCATCCTTTGGGGCACTCCAGTTCAGCTTTGGTGTTACTTTGCCGCCAAACTCTGAGATGGTTGACTTGATCTGGGTGTGGATTTCTTGCCATTCAACGGACGGATCTGGCTCCTCGTCTGCACCGTCGTCGGAAAATGTGTCTAGGTCATCTTCGCCCTGCGGCGGGGTGGTCTCGGGTGGTAAAACGATTCCATCGGCGCGGAGGTAGGACACGAATGAAGGTGTCAAAGGTATAACACGAGATTTAGGGGTAAGTGTGCGGTATCTAGTCCATGACGCTGCTAGTTAACTTCATGAACTTTCAAAATATTTGAGAAGCATGTGGAGCATACCGAGGTTGCCAGTGATGATAAGAGCAATGAAGGATGTGAGAGTAAGTGACTGGGGGAAAGGGTAGCCTCTGCAGCTGCGCTGCTGAAGACTCAGCCGGAGCCTGTGTGTCAGGCTCTAGAAGCGGCATGATCGTAGTTGATTCGCAAAAGCAAAAGATAGATAAAGAAGTATGAGGGGCAAGTATCCTCGATATATCAGGATCTACAGAGTATTCTAGAGTGACTCAGTGGGGTCGGTTTTTACCGTCCTTCAAGGTGCTTACCATTTGTGGATTAGCCAAATACACTTTGTCATGTATTGTAAGATTGTAAGATCGATTATTGCTGGATGCCACGTGTTGTGCCTGAGGCATCATTGATGATCATTGCTTGCGACACAGGTAAGCTCTCATCAGCCATTCTCTTTCCGTGTTGTTGGCATTTTCTCGTCCAGCATCCTGTGCGCCCGTCAATATGCCGTCGGACGGTCCGGATCCGCAAAGCCTCAAGTCATGGCAGGATGCCTTCCAGTATCCAATCCCCACCGTTCGCCGTGTGGAACAGGAGCTACGTCGGGATATCGCGAGCAACAAGGAGAGGCTCCGGGCTCTCGTGGGGTAAGTGTTCAGCGAGACAATTGGGTGGAATGATTGCTAATATTAAATTCGCACTCAGGACGAGGTATCGAGAGCTCGTTGGGACTGCCGAGACAATTGTCCTGATGAACCGCGAGATTCAGGAGGTGGATTCGACTTTGGCCGATATTGGACGAAGATGCAACCCACGATTGATCGAGAAGATGCATGCGCACATGAACCAAATAAAGGATGATGCTCAGGATAAGGGTAAGAAGCTTGCGCTCTCGACCTCTGTAGTTCAGGGAATTGATTCGAATACAGAAACAGAGAGACGAGCATTGGGGGCCCAGCTTTCACTTCTCCATCGCTGCACTCAGGCGATTGCATATCTTCTGCGAAAGCGCGGTTCTCCACTGCTGACGGCGAAACTTCTGGTTGTTTCTCGACTTCTTCACAAAACCCTTTCACAGCAGAAGACCATACCTCCATTTCTGGACAATTTGCGCAACCAGTTAGCGTCCCTTCGGCGGACACTTCTAAAGAGAGTCGACAAGCGACTCGCGTCCGCAAAGTCCACCGTTGACGATACAATTGAGTCGTTGGCCGCTTATTGCCTAGCGACGAGCTCCTCATCAGACGATGCTATTCGTCATTTTCACCACGTTCGCCTGGATGTTATTGGAAACCAGCTGGAACTTACTGAGGCATCAGGCGAGAATGTTCCGTCCGCTCTACAGCTCTACATCCAAACTCTGCAAATGTCGAAGACTCTGCTTTCTCGTCGATTGTCAGATGTGCTCAACAAGTTGAAAACAAGACCTATCTTGGCCGATCCAGACATCCTCAGCCTCGATGAACTGAGTGTTGACGTGTTGGGACGTTGGGTAGCTGCTGACGTCAAGAATTTCACTCCCTGGATCAAACTAAGCGAGCTGTCGAAACCAGAAGCCGAAAAGACAATCAAGCAGTGGTCAAGACAAGCGTTTGACACTTTCGTCAAAGGCTGCGGTCACACCTTGACAGACTGGCACAGTTTCTCTGAATTACTCGCTCTTCGTCGCAGGACATTGGAGTTATGGCTCAGCTCCTTGGGCTCAACACCTACTCATGCGCCCTTGACCGTCCTAGAAGGCATTCGATCTGTTTTCAATGAGCGGCTCAGCCAAATCTTATCAGGTCAGGCCAAGGAGCTGGAGCAATTCGGCCAAGGAGTCGCTTCTGTGATCACAAATTGGGACACCAAAGAACATGTCGAGACGCTTTCCCTCTGGGATGACGAGCTAGTTAACCTTGACTGCTCAGATGGTGCGACCGCTTTCAAACAAACGATCGCAGATAGATTGCTTGGCCGGGACGCAGACGTATCAGCTGTGTTAGCAAAGTACGTGACCTGGCTTGCGGCCATTGGGAAGTCCAAGGATTATATCAACGAAATGAAACGAGTGCGATGGACCGACATCCTCGAGGAAGGTGAAGAGGAGGATGCAGACATGAATATAACAGCCATATTAAACGATGACGATACTGCATTGCTGAAAGACGCGCTCCAGCAATCTGTTCGGGAGTCGCTCAACCACCTGCAGTCATCCTTCGCCGAGATTCTCAAAACCTTTGGATCTTCTAATCAACACAAGAAAGCCGCCTTTTTGCTAAAAATCATTAGACTGGTTCGGAAGGACCTCCCTGTTGACTTCATTTCCAGCGATTTCCTCTTTTCAAGGGAAATCGTACCTCAGCTGCAACAAATCCTTACCGCGCAGGTAGTCACACTTACAGACCCCTTGAATATATGGCCCAAACGCGCCTCCCCAACAACTACAATATTACCTGGTCGGAGCCTCTGGGAGGGTGACCCTGAACTTCCGGTTCAGCCTTCACCAGCAACTTTCAAGTTCCTACGCCGTCTTGTAGACACGATGGATGACTACGGCTTAGGGTTTTGGGACGTGTCTACTACTCAAGTGCTGAAAGGAGGATTGCGAAAAGAGCTTTGGGCCACCGCCGCCACTACTCTTAAGGCTTTGGAGTCAGTGTACAATCAAGAAGAAAGCACAGCGTCGAAAGAGGCTCAAACAGTCGAGAATGGAGATAATGGTAAAACCCAGCAGTCGGAAGCCGATGTTGCAATCGGAGCGCAGAACACCGACGATTACAAGCTTCAGCTCTGTTTCGATCTACTCTACTTGAGCAATGCTCTGGCGACCGCAGAGCCGACTCAGGACTCTTTCTCAGACGCTGTCCAAAGCCTCTGCAGCAGTCTGGACTCGAATCCGAAGACGGTCAAAATCCTCGAGCAAAGAGCTCATGATTATTGGAAACGAACGCATCTGTTGTTCGGGCTTCTGGCAGTGGGAATAGAGCAATCATGACCCACATTAGACCAAAGATTCTGTATATATCACCTTCCTATGCACATACCTAACCTAACTGTCTTCGCAAAAACTGAGTTCGATGCGTTCTGTAAAAACTGCCTTCACCAACTGGCAAACGCCCTATACTATCGTCATTCCGTGGCTTTCTTCACCGCCCACGTCACGCTTCCAGTTTCCGGCCGCCCGCAAACAACTTCGCCGCGGGAAAGCTGAATGCCCTCTTACCAACTTCCTACCTGTGTATGCAACCCACTACGGCTTCAATCCATGTTTTCTCGAATGATCTGGCGGTAACTCCAACCCTTCCATCATGGCTTCCCCACGGCTACCATTCCTGTATCCGCATTTGATGCGCGCAATTAGAACATGCGAACCGTCCACCTACCGCACAATTCGGCGTCCCTCACATAATCGTGCTTTTCACGCCAGTCGACCTCGCGCTCAGGAGGCATATCATCGGCGCTATGGGCCCGCTGCCGAGGCCAACCTGCCTCCTCCATCGAGACCCAAGGAAGAGTTTTCCAAAGAGCAAGCGTCAAAAACGCCAGCGGCGAAGGACGGCAACCACGAACCAGAGCAATCGC